GGCGGGGCCTCAGCGGCGGCGCGGCCCCAGGTGAGGCGGCGCCCGGGCCGGCCGGCAGCGCGCGAAGGCATGGAGTTAATTAATTAATTAATTATTTTGTCTATCTTTGAGCGCGCACGAGCGTGTAGTGTCGCTTTATTTATTTATTTACGAGCGTCCGTGAATCATTCGTTTATTTTACTTATTTGCTTATTTATTTTTTAGTTTATTTTCGAGTGCACCTGCGCTGTTCATTTATTTGCTTATTTGTTTCATTTGGAGCGTGCCAGGGGTGTGTTACTCAGTTTTGTGAGCAGCAAAACTCGTGACTCTTTAACCCCGTTGCGTTTCCCTTTCCTGTAAATTTAATCCGGTTTTATGTGTTTGTTTAAGACTTGAGCCGCTTCGTGGCTCGGAGCAGCACGTGCGGGGAGCTGCGCTCCGCTCACGCGGGCCGGACCGTCACGCTGTGCGGCTGGATCCAGTACCAGAGGTAAACGGAGCCCTGCCGGAATGGGAGCCCTCGCGTCAGCAGATCCGGTTCATCCCCCTGAGTCCGGTTCTGTGCACCTCGGGCACCTCTGGTGGTTCGCGGTGCCCTTGTCTCCCACCCTGTCCAGCTCTGAGGTGTCTGCATGAGATGCAATGGATACTCATGGCAGATCAATACTTAACATCTTGGGGTCTTATACAAACCTTAACTGATTCTCATCCCCCCCTGTAAAGCACTTAAACGTTGCTCCCCCCATTCTGTGAGGAGGAAACAACTGCTGTCGTGTTTACAGCAGTTTTGAGCAGCTGTGGGCAATTAATTTCTTGCATACCAGTCTCTTCCATACCATACTCCCATGACTTAAAGATATTCCTTGTTTTTTTTTTTTTCTTTCACCTAATGCATATTGAAAGCAACCGTATAACGTTTAAAAAGAGAGCGCAAAAGAAAGAAGCAGTACGTAGAGGGTGAAATATTAATCCCATGCCTTGCTATATGTGACGCGATGTAATCCCTCCAGACAGTTTTTATATTTCTATAAATCCAGAGTAAAGAGCGTCTCTGCGTATATCATGAGTGATACTCAGTTAATTGTGTTGATCCTGGCTGCGTGCTTATAAACTGGAAGTGGGTCCTGTGGTTTTGATGAAAATAATTTGCATCAAAAGCAGTTTCCTGTATTTTGCAGGCTAGGGAATCTGTTCTTTATCCACCAGGCTTCTATACAGTGATTTCTACAGATTTTTATTAACTGATCTGAGCCTTTCATCATGGAACAGCTGTGGGTGGAGTTACAGGGAGCAGATTTGTGGTTATCACCATGAGATCATTGCATAATGCAGAGAATATCTGGAAATTTCACAGGATCAGATTCCTTGTTTGCATGTTCAGATTCAAATGCCGCCTCTCTGGATTATTTGCACAATGTTGATACTTGGCTCAATAAAATCTGAAACATTGTTCAGATTAGATTTAAATTGGGAAAAATAAAAATYGTGCATATGCTGCTTTGGAAATGCTTGGAGGTATTAGTCCAAGATATAGAAATTAGCCTGTTGTTGTGCACTTGGTCTTAAAAAACAGAAAATGTCTGGATCCTCACAAAGACTTTTTTTTTTCTTTTGTTTTTCCTCGTGGATCAGGCAGGGCCTCTTYCTGGTTTTGAGGGATTTCCAGGGACTGACCCAGATCATCATTCCCCAGGATGAGGTAGGTGCTACCAAAAGATGAGTGCCAATTTTTAAATTTTCTTTTCTGCTGTGGTAGGTTGTGTCCAGGAGGCATCGAGTGCACAATGAGGAACATAGTTGGACTGAGGGCTCTGAGTCACAAGCAGACTTATCCTGCATGGTGATGAGAGCCCTGATGTGACATTGCATTAGAAATATGAATACTGTTCCCTTGGGTCTTTGAAGAATGATCGCTGATTCAGGGAGGCTGTTAGGATGAGAGGCCCTTGAGCGTGATGGAGCTTGATGCTGCGTTCTTTGGATTTCTCTGAGATTTTAACATCTCCTTTCAGGCACATTCCCATGTGAAGAAGCTSTTGTCCAGTGCTCCAGTGGAATCTGTCGTGCGAGTGACTGGGATTGTGTCCCTTCGACCCCCGGGGCAGGAGAACCCTGTGAGTATTTGGGGCTAGCTGTGAGTTTTTTGGCTGAGTGAGGCTTTGCTCGCGGAAAAGAGCACGGTGTGARGGATTACGTGGCTTGCGTGGGCAGCACAGCCCTGTTCCGAGGTGTGCGAAAGCCCGTCCTCAAATGGTGCGAGGCAGAAATACCTGCTGTGGCCTGTAACCTGGGAGAAGCTCAAGCACGTTACAGGCAAGTGGGCATTCTTGCCCAGACCAGATCTTGCTGTTCTCAAGGTATAGAAAGCAGAGGTTGAATATTTGCCTTTTTTCAAGTKTTGTATTTCTCAACTCTCTCTGTCACCAGCCAAATTGCGCATATCTGATCACTAGCAGAACTGGAAAGAGAATCCTGGATTTATGGCTATCTTTTTTTTCCACTCTGACTACTGTGAATAGCCACCAAGGATACTAACTTCCAGGCTCGCTTATTTCTTTTAATGTGTTATTTTTGTATTGGAAGTAATGTGCATTTTTGTATTTGTATTGAATTGGATGTACTTTCTCCTAGTAAGTAGAAATAATTATGTAGCACTGAATGAACTTCACTATAGCATAGTGTGAAGTGGGGGAAACTCTCTGTTGTCGTTCGGTATTTAAGAAAATGATGTCTCTTTTTCAGATTTGGTGCCATAAAGGTATTGTCCTTCCTAAAATGTTGCCTTTTTTTCACTTTTAATAAAAGTTGCTCATATACTAGCATTTATACTGTGCAGTTTCATTGAAACTAATGAAACTCTTCTGCCCAAATGCTTGTGCGTTAACAGGCTCTGGGCCTGACTTCTGTGCGCAGCATGTCTTGCAAAGCAAGGGCAAAGTAAAAGCTATTTTATTTCATGTAGTGATGGGAATGGTATTAGAAATGAATACTCCACCTACAGTGCAATGACTTGCCTTCTGTGGGAACAAAAGAAAAAGCTAGGGGAGATCTGTCCTTAAAAGAAGTTCTCCGAGTGGTGCTGTATTAGAGGGCAAGGAGGATAATCACATGGATTCTCTTTTTTTTCCTGCAAATATTGAAAGGCTTTGTGCCCAATAGCTTTCCCTAAGCCTTGAATCTAATTTATTTCACCTTTTTTTTTTTTTTTTCCCTCTGCAGAAAATGCCAACAGGGGACATTGAAGTGAAGGTGGAGACTGCAGAGCTCCTAAACTCCTGCAAGAAGCTACCTTTTGAAATCAAGGATTTTGTCAAGGTTACTGCATTTTTCTCACTTAGCAAAGCAGTGACTTTACAATAAGTTTTGAATTTGCCTAGAAGGGGCAGCAAACCATGTGAGAGAGCTTCAGCTGGTTCTCCTCACTTCTGCCTCAGGGCAAGAGTGGTATTTTACCACAGGATGTGCTGCTTGTTGGCTCTCAGGGTGTATTTCTAGTTAGAGTGAAGTAGAAACCAAGGCTTGAATGATTCCAGTACGCAGGGTTTTAAAGTATCACTGTAAGAACCAATAGTAAAGAAAAGAGTGGAAGAAATGTAGAATATGCTAGCGTTTCTGAGAGGGGGGAAAAACAYGTCACTGCACTTTTTTTAAAGCAAGGGAACTTAATCACGTCTGACAGAAGATCTTCAATTAAAAATACTACTGATATATAGATGTTGCAGTCGGGGCACTGGGTCTTGTGCCTTCCCAGCACCTGGTTACCCCTGTGCACAATAAGGGTGCGTCAGCATTTGGTCATTCCTTTGGATCTAAGCATGATGTTACTCCTTGTTCCTCTTGAGGAGGAATCCTGTGCTCTGTTCAGTGGACTGAGAACAAGGAGAGCTGAAATCTAGAGCTATTTTGAGGCAATCCTAGCCAGAGAATTGTTTTCTTCAAAGACTTGTCTTTTGCCCTTCTTTAAAATAATTGCACCAATATGATCTGAGCGGCTGTTGCTTCTTCATAGTGATGGGTGGGTCATGGGAAAAGCTTTAAAAAAAAAAAAAAAAAAAAAAACTTTTTTAGGTTCCTGCTTTCCTCCTGCAGCTTTAGGAGCAGCCTCATTAGTCTTGCAATTAGAATTTTGTCTCTTCATCCTAATTGCTTCTTATCTGCAGAAGTCAGAGGCCTTGCGCATGCAGTATCGCTACTTGGACTTGCGCAGCTTTCAGCTGCAGTACAACCTGAGGCTGAGATCACAGATAGTGATGAAGATGCGAGAATACCTCTGTTACCTCCATGGTAAGGCAAGCCCCTGAACCAGGGTGCAGCARACAACATTTTAGTCCTCCTTTCTTCTGTTTCCCATTCCTGGGAGAGGTTGCCAACCAACCTGCTACTCCAGACTGGTCCCAGTTAGTAAGAATGTGCTTGCTTGCTTTGGCAACTTGAGAGGGGTGTTAGCAGGCCTGAAGGACAAGTGTGGTGGGATCCCAGAGCATTCCACAGGCCAGTTGTTTTAAATGAGAAATATAATAGAAGCAGAGGCTTTTTGCAGATACTTTCCCCCTTCTGGTCACCCAGCTCAAAGCATCTTAAGGYATTATTCATAGGGTTTGTCTAATCTTAAAATGAAGGAGTGTGTTTTTTTGTTTTGTTTCGTGTTTTTTCCTCCTCTCCTCCCCCTTCTAACCTGCCGTGTAGTTTAAAACAATGAATCAAGTTTCCCAGCCTATATGGAATGTACCATTATCAACAATTCTGGCATGTCTTTGGGTGAGCTTAGACCCCTTTAAGTCTGTCACTGCACAAAATAGGCTTAGAAACGGGTAAGTTCCTTGGAGAACTCTCATGTGCCTCAGTTTGAAGAGGAGAAGTTAAATTACTTCTTGATCTGACTAACCCCACTGCAGCCTCCTCTTGTGATACTTGTTCTCCGCTCTCGTCTTACCCTGTCTGAAGCATGTGTTTGTTYCTCAGGATTTGTGGATGTAGAAACTCCAACGCTCTTTAAGAGAACTCCAGGGGTACGTATGCTGTCAGAAATAAATGCATTTTAGACACCTGAAATTATACAGGCCCTTAATTATTGAACTGTCTTTGTTTGCCACAATGTTTTCATTGCTGCGTTCCCACTAATTAAGAGCTCACTTGCAATTGCTGACGTGATATATTGATGCTTTTGATAGTAGAGAGGGTGAATGGGAAAAAGTGGCATCTTCTGTCTCAACTTTGAAWACAAAAGAATAAAGTTTCTGTTTGTAAAGTGCAGGGTGAGTGTGAGAGAGACATTTGGAGAGCCAGGCCAAGATTTTCCTTAAAACACAGTTTCCTTAGGATTTCTTTCCTAGAGTGCCTCCAGCCTAGAGTGGAGGGAAAGACTGCATTGTGACCTCATGTTATCAAACGCAGAAGAATCTGGGAGGGAAAATGTCACAAAATGCTCCATTTGGAGCAGTCCTATCAGTTGCCATGCAAGGTGATTGTAGGAAATGGCTCTTTTAGTTCATGTGTTCACTGAACTTCTTGCTTTAAAATACATTTCTTCATGAACTTGACGCTTTTGTCTTTCTGAGGGAGAAAAGGCAGGCCAAGAGAAAGAGTTGAATATTCTGAAAGAGCTGGGGGTAAGGGGAAAACAGCCTAAAATCCAGTCAGTTTCCTGAAGTAGCAGATCTTCTGTCCTAGGTCTACTCAAGTCACCAGTACTGTAAGAAGAGGTGTCGTTTTACTAACTGCTGATAGTCATCAGATCATCTGTTTAATTTCAAGGTTTTTTTCTCCTCTTTGTGATGCCAGGGGGCAAAAGAATTCCTTGTGCCCTCGAGGGAACCAGGGAAGTTCTACTCTCTGCCACAGAGTCCTCAGCAGTTCAAGCAGCTCCTCATGGTTGGAGGTCTGGACAGGTAAGGATTTCTGGGAATTGCCCAAGAACTTCTCAGATGTTTTCTGAATTTAAAACAGGTTCCTTAAACACTTTGCAGCCAAGTCAGGTTCTTTAGCATAATAATATGCTAAAAAATGCTTCCTGTTAAGGGGAATTGTATGCCTTTTTTTGATGGTTGAAATTTTGATTTTTTGTTTTAAATGAAAAACTAATCTTAGCCGGAGACGTAGGAAGAAGACATAATACAGAGCTTCTAATTGGGCTTATTTCCCCCAATAAAATTGAAGCTGACCAGAGTTTATGCAGTGAACTGCAGTCTGGGTCCCCACTATGTGTGATTTCTGTGTGGTCCTTACTAAAGTCCAGGGCTAGAGCAGTTGTTGAAAAAGAAGGTTGTTCATTGCGCAGCTCAYCTGCTAGGCAAGAGTATCCTTGGTGGATATGGCTGGAGAGGGATACAGTTGCTTCCGCTGTAGTTTTCCTGCTTTTTTGAGGGCATGGGAACAGTCAGGGCTGTGACCACTCGCGTGTTCATGCTTCCCTGCTGCCCTTAATYAGTTTTACAGTTTAATTTAGGCTACTTCAAATTCCTATCTAAATAAAAGTAYTATTGCAGGTACTTCCAGGTTGCTCGCTGCTATCGAGATGAGGGTTCCAGGCCTGACAGACAACCTGAATTCACTCAGGTAACCAGCTTACACCATCCTTGCTCCCAATAACCTGGAGTTTTCTCTTATGAGTGATCAGGTTTGTTTAGCTGTGATGCTGCTTGGGGGAGCAAATGATTCTGCTGAGTGTTTCACAGTGTAGCCCTGTGGTTTCTTCTCACAGCATAGCCATAGGCTCCGTTTGGCTCACTGCAATCCCAGGTGCCCGGCAGTAGCTGTGGGGACTGTGTTGAGCACTGGCTGTGCCAGATGATGTGAATCTGTGCCTGTCCYGCTGAGCTGGGCTTCCCATTCCTCAGTGTTGAGTTCCCAGACAGAGCGAGCTCAGCCTGTTCAAGGTTTTTCCCGCTGTCCTTGTCATCGTTGCCTCATTGAGGGTTCTGAGGAGGTTGCCAACATCACGAGGCTGCGGGGAGATAACAAACAAACCCTCAGTATAAAAGTCATGCTCTTATTTGGTGTAGTGTTATTTCCTTTTATGTTTCCTTTATAAGCAAGTTCCTGCAAGCAGCTGCACAGAAGCAAAAGCTCTTAACTAATGTGGAATGCCCTCTTTTTATATTTTAAGCTAGATGTAGAGATGTCATTTGTGGATCAAGATGGGATCCAGAGACTAATAGAGGGCCTCCTGCAATATTGCTGGCCTGAGGAGAAAGGCCCCATTACCACTCCCTTCCCCTCCATGACATATGAGGAGGCACTGGCCGACTATGGGACTGATAAACCAGACACTCGCTTTGGCATGAAGGTGAGGGATTAAACAGTGCAAATTGGCAGCTTTTCCCCTTTTTTTTTTTTTTTTCTGTTGCTATTTCTGAATATTCTCTAAGTCATGTCCGTGTGCTGTTGTCAGCTGGGGTTCTTACTGCTACAACGTACCCAGCCTGTTTTCCCATCACTGCTGCTTTGTGCAGGTGTTCTTAGAAAACAGAGGGTTTGATGTAGGGCTGTTGGAAAATGGATCTTAGAACACTTTCTTTTTAAAGGTAATTTAGTGTTAGGAAGCGAATCATTGTTACTGTGCTAGGAAAAGAAGGCCCCACAGCCTTATATATACTATATATGGTATATATGCGTTTTTATACATTTATTTATACATTTTTGCCCCCAGACATGCTGCTCCAAGGGAACATACTTTGAGCAGGTTCTCTGAGCTAACCAGTGCTCTGTGTTAGTGTGCACATACATGTAGAAGTATGACATAGAAATACTGAYAGAAGTATTAAGAGGAGCAGTGCTGAAGAGCATCTTAAATCTCCCTAGGAATTAATTTGGGAGTTTTCTTTTTATGTATATGACTCCCTCGGTTATGTCTTCACATTTCTCTTGTTTCTTCCAGCTTCTCTTGCATTTTTTTTGTCTCTGTATCATTTGGGCTTCTAAGGGTTATTCCAACTTGGCCCCATTCCTTATTTCTGTGCATCCTTTGATTTCTTTGAGCAAGGTAATACTGTCCCAAGCAGTGGCGCTGAAGGAGTTGCAAGACGCAGATGCAGGATTGTGTGTTGTGTTCCTGTCACTACTGTGGTTTTCTTTTCCGCCGCTCAGATAATGGATGTCAGTGATTTCTCACGAAGTTTGGGCATTCCTTTTGTGCAGAATGCACTCGGCTATCTGCATGGCACTGTCAAAACCATTTGTATCCCTCAGGGAATGGTAAGTGATATTTTTACTTTTGGTTATGATTTATGTGGAAAAAAATTAAAATACCAATTTATGATTCTTGATATGGAAGTGTCCGTTGCTGTCAATTGTGATTGAGCTCAGGTTTGGCTGAGGTGCATTAGGAGAGGGGAATGGGGAAGATTGGGTGGTGGAAAGAATATTTTTGTCCTCTAAAAGGCCAGCAAGAGGACAGAGCTGCAAGGTCCTTGGAACACAGGGAGGCCTCTCTGGCTTCAGCTTGCTTTAGTCGGAGCTGGCTTCTGTCTTGCATCTGAAAAATAAATTGTGCCCCRTGGCAAGAGATTAGCAAAGTGCCCAGTGTGGCACAGCTTGTTTCTGGACTAGTGAGAGGGAGATGAGCTGCTTGTGTGCCAGTCATCTGCTTTTGTCATTTTTGTGGACACGACTTGGGTCTTGTAATGAGAATGTCAGAGAGCAAATGCAAGGCTGAGAGCCGTGATAGATCCAGAAGCTTATTTGGCAACATYCATGTATTCTGGCAGGGAAGCAGATGTGATTCTGGCTCAAGACACCTTTGCAGCATGTGTAGTGTGGAGCAAAGATTCCACTGAGCCCTCTGCTTTATTCCACAGCCCTCTGAGTCCAGCCTGGGGTAGGACTTGTCTGGCTGTGGTTTCTCTCCGATTGCTGCAATTTGGCAAAGCGCACGTTTGGGCTTGCCACGAGAGGGCACTAAGCTGTGCTTTTGAGCAAAGCAAAAGGGAGCTGTAGATACTGTAGTCACGATCTTGGTGCAGGACCTCAAACCTACTGCAATTCTGTGCATGTGAGGGCCAGCTCAGGTATTTTCTTTTCTCTTGAAAGCCTCAAGGCCTCCCTGAGCCTTTCCCTGCACCTCTCCAGTGTATTTGTCCTGCTCTGTAACCTGCACGTGGGAGACAGCTARTTGGCATGATCTAACTCTGCTGACCAGCTATGTTGGATCTGTGAGCAAGGGAAAAACAGTCTGTATTTGATGTGCTGCCTCCCAAAAGGGCCTCTTGCTGAAAGCCTTTAGAGAAGACACTTGGCTGCAGTCTAGTGCTGCAGCCCTTTCTGTTCTGTAGCCCTCTTGGGTTGGAAACAGAGCTTTAGGGGGTTGGAAACAGCTGAGTCAGTAGAATGGAATCGTAGCCTGGCTTTTCACAGACTTTGCTGATGTTTAACGTCTCTTCTCTTGCTCTTTCCCCAGAGATATCTTAAAAATAAAGATATTGAATCATTAAAGGAGACTGCAAGATCCCAATTTAACCAGGTGAGACAGGAACACTGCGGAAGCATTGGAAAGGGAAGGACAGGCTATGTAAAGTGTTATGCAATTGCAGGCAGAGGAAGACAGAAGGAGCAGTTTTTAATGATGCTCCTCTGTTGAGCACCAGTGCCTGAGCTTGCACTGCTTCAAAACAAGAGAGGGCAGCACTGAACTGTGTTGCTTGTCTTTACTGGTTTCCTGCTTTAGGAAATTGTGGACGTTGTCTGCAAGCCTGATGGAAGCTTGAAGTCTCTACTTACAAGGTTTATTGGCCAGGAGCAGCAGTCAGAGCTCATCCAAGTGCTGAAGATGCAGGTGGACGACGTGGTCCTGCTGGCAGCTGGAGAACACAAGCAAGTGGTAGGATCTGCTTCTGGGGGACTGAGAGCTGAATGTTGCTCATGGGGACTTTGATGTTATCTCTGCTTACTAATTCTTTTAAGTATTAAGAAAGGTCGGTAGAAATTCCACATTACTCTGGATCTGTATAGRCATAAAGTGTAGATGTTGCTTCTACCTCTCTTGGTCAAATTGTGGAAAGAAATAATAGGTGAAACAAAGGCTGAGTTGTAAAACATGATCACATCAGCGCCTCATTTTCTCTCATTTCATTTATTTAAACCCCACTAACAAAGATCAGAAAGCAAAGTCAACTAGACAGCTTTCTCTCCTACAAGCAGAAGCTCTTATCTTAGCAGTGAGATCAATGTAAGAGATCTGTTAAGATGAAAATTTGAGGGGGATTTTCTAGCTCCCTGCTTGGTCTTTCTTTGTGGGGCTTTAATCATCTGTCCAAACTCTGGACCTCCTGCTGTCTCGGTGGGAAGGCACTACATCTAATGTTATCCTGATGCTGATGCTGTCCTGATGCTGATGAAGAGTCTCCTTCCCTGGCCTGTTTGACTTGCTGGCATTTCTGGCATTAAAATAGACCCTTCTTGTTCTCTTCCCTTCTCTTTGCAGTGTTCTGCTTTAGGAAGCTTGAGGTTGGAGAGCGCCAACCTCCTGGAGGCAGCTGGCCTGGTGCTCCGTGATCCAACGGCTTTTCACTTTCTCTGGGTGGTGGATTTCCCACTTTTCCTCCCCAAGGAAGAGAATCCCACTGAATTGGAATCTGCTCATCATCCTTTCACTGCCCCCCATCCTTCAGACATGGGCCTCCTCTATTCTGATCCCGCGAAGGTAACGGAACCTCCTGCCTGGTCCTGAATTCAGCCTGGGTGCAATTTTCTCTTCAGATTGTAAAGCCCAAGCTATAATGGGCTATGGAGGATGTCCCCCCCTGATTTCTTACGTATTTGTGCCTTGGTGAATATTTCAGAGCTGCGGCTCTGCTGGGGCGGGATGTTCTCAATTCTGGACGTTGTCAGGGTTTGGATGCTACAGGACACGAGGATAGTAAYGTTTGGGGAGATTTAGTGAAATTTGTCACCCCTAGTGGAATACAGTAAAAAGTTTTCTCATCTTCAGTGCTTTAAATTTCTTAACAAATTTCTTTGAATTCAAAAGGCCTCATTAAGAAACCTGCGTTGTTGTGTGCCAGGTTCCAAAACTTCTTTGCTTTCTGCGTGCAGATTGGAGTTAAGTGTAGCCGTGTCTTGCCCYGTGTTTTGCTAAGGTGCCCCCTCCTTTCTTTCCTCAGGTCCGTAGCCAGCACTATGACCTTGTGCTGAATGGAAATGAAATTGGAGGTGGCTCCATCCGGATTCATAATGCGGAACTACAGCGCTTTGTGCTCGAGAAGGTGCTGAAGGTAACAGCCTAGAAAAATTCATACACTTGCAGATGTAAAAGACATATTAAATAGTCATTTAAAGTCCTGTAAGAAACATAGGTGTTCTGCTCAGATAAAGAAACGTAGCCATGAGAGATGGATGGCTTCACTGTATCTTCATTTTACAGTGCTAGCAGGAGAAGCGATGTTTTTCCGATGACACTTTTTATGTGACTTTGCAGGAGGATTCTGAAGTGCTTTCCCACCTGCTTGAGGCTTTGGAGTTTGGAGCTCCTCCTCATGGAGGAATTGCCTTAGGTAGGTGCTGCGTAGCTCTGCAGAATGCAGCTGTCTYCTGGCTTTCTTTTGATGTAACAGACCTCAGCAAAAACCTTGTGTTCGGTAGCAAGAACCTTGTCCCCTCCTGACAGAGGATTGTTCTGGKGTGCTCTTTGTCCTGACCAACCTGGTTAGACTAAACTGGAGCTGAACTGGCAGGAACAACTCCTGCCAGGGAAAGACTGTTTTTTCTGATGGGTTAGCCCCCTTATCGGGCTCCATGTGGGCCTGAGGAATACCTGGGCCAACACCATGGGGAGRTAGACCTCATAGTCAACGGGACAGGGAAAAGACAGCAGTGTTGGTTTAGGCTGTTGTGGCATCCTCTGAAGTCACAGCAYTACATTAATATTGTATTTTTCTCTTGGAATCTTGCAAATTTCTGTTTTGCTTTGTTTTTTAAAGGTAGTCTTTTAACTTACAATCATTCTGGGTCATCTAGTCATGCGGCGGCTCTTGTGTTTCCTAATTTTCTCCTCATTGTTGTAACTCTTTTTAGCCAAGAACTTCTTTTGACCAGTTCAACACAGCCCTGGAGATGCTCCTTCCGTTTGCTTGCCCTCCGCATCGTTCTTGTCTCTGGGAAGGAATTGTCTGTCTTTGGTGTTTCACCAGTTTTCTTGTAACAGTGAAAAGCTATTATTTTGCTAGGCATTGCTGCTCCTTAGGAAGTCTGTTTCTCTACTTACTGTTCGAGATGAGCTTTTCCCCTCAACTGCTTCTCTTTCAATGTTCAAGCCCAGTAATACCATTTACTTTCATCTTCCAATTTGGGGAATGGAAGGGAGTAATATAAGGCTTTTACTCGAGTGTTTTACGGATTTGTTGTCTGCTTCCAGGACTTGATAGGCTGATCTCTCTCATCATTGGTGCTCCAAGTATCCGAGACGTCATYGCTTTTCCCAAATCCTTCAGAGGACGGGACCTGATGGGCAATGCTCCAGACTACGTCACTCCAGAAGAGCTAGAGCCGTATCACATCCAGGTTTCCTGGCCTGCTGCAGAAGCGGAGGCGAAGAAAAACTGACCTAAAGCAAGTGGTGTGAGGTGGTTTGTGTAACTAGTGATGGGTTTGGCTGCTGAATTCTAGGATTTAGTTCAGAAGACACCAGCTGATATTGGAGAGTACAACCTCACTACACCATGGAAACTTCCAAATTGAATGAGATATGAAGCCCTAATGGGAATTCACCTAATCTCTAGGTAATGGGAAGAAGTAACGAAACAAAGTAAAACCACCTCATTTTAGCATAGGCTATTGAGAGAATTTGCTTTCGGCTCCTATATTGGAGCGGAAGTGGAATTTTTGTTATTTTTTACCTACCCTTTGTAAAATATCCTCCTATCTATAGGAGGTGGTGTCAGCTTCTCTGGGAAAGAAGRTACTTTCTTCTGATAATCATCAGATCCCCCTAAGGTGAGGAGAGTTTGAACACATCAGTGCTGTGCCAGGCCAAGAGCTTAACAACCCATCGGTGCAGACAGTAACTTTTTTTCTTGCTGGAAGGGTACAAGATTATCTTAAACTTGTTGCAGGGAATCGGTATTTTCAAGTGTGATCCCTAATCCAATGTGGGGGAGGGAGCATGCAAAGCACTTGTTCATGTAATGCTCGTCGAACAGGGGGTGACCTGTCTTTGGGGCCTGTGGTCCCGTTTTCAGAACGCTAGTTCTGAAGTTKGTATGCTTGTAAATAAAACTCCTTTGGCAACATGATTTTGACTGAGGTTGGTTTGGGCTCTACTCTTTCTACCAGTTCTTTGTGACCCTGACCGGTCAAGGAAGTGACAAGAAGTGAGTGGCAGCGTAGCAGGATTGGTCATTTTGTGTGAATTCTGCCTTCTCCAGCAAATAGCAGCTACAGCAGAGAGTGATGCAGCAGCAAGTCCCTTGCAAACAACAGTCTGCTCTGTCCYGCAGAGGTGCAGTGCGGAGCGGATGGTGGGCTTTAATAAAAAGTGCTGCCCATTCCCATCTGTTCTGAACCTGTGTTGCTTGTAGGTGAGCAGAGAACTGAAAGGGACAGAGGAAGGCAAAGCAGGTGAGGAGGAGCGAAGCAGGACATCACCTGAATAAGCTAGGAAGATGAAACGAGGACAGAGAAGGCGTGAGCCACTGTGTGGTAGGAAGGACAAGGGCAACAGGAGGCCTTAGAAAACGTTTTCAAACACAGGTTGAAATTACCATCCATAGGYAACTGTAGCACCTTGCTGTATCTCCTCTTTAGGTACGAAGACACCTCATCTCATGATCAGTCACAGAACATGGCTAAATTCTGTTTAACAACAGCAAAGGCAGAACTGGAAAATACCCTCTAGATCTGTGGGGTTTTTTTATATATTTATTTCTAGTCAAGCACTGTTACCTCTGTGAATTCTATATTCTTTTTTTCCTTTTATGAGATACTATAATTTTACTGTTAACTCACCTTTATGGCTTTTTTCTCTTTTCCCCTGAGTAAAAGGTGTCAGTAGGGGAGTGAGTGTCAGTTTTCAGTGACAAGCKAAGTTTGCTGCCTCTCCTTCCAGCACTCAAAGGTGAACACGAGGTTCTGTGTGGAAATAGCTGAAATGCCAGCTACTGTGACCAGTGCTGCCTCAGGAAGTCTAGTGATGTGACCTAGATGCCTAAGCAGGTCCACACCAAAAAATGCTTTAGAAAAATGAAAATAAATTTTAGAAAATTTAGTTTCTTAGAAATTAAAATATTTAGAAAATTTTAGAAAATTATTTTCAGTTTTCTAAAGCAACTAAATTTTAGATGAGACGCTGTCTGGTATCTAGCACTGAAGCTGTATTGATGCTGATGTACTAGAGCCACTTCTAGAGTGTGAGTGATTAAGGGTAGTTTGCAAAAAATGATCTGGTAACAGGCAAAACACTCTTGGATATTATCTACATAAGTTTTGTAAAACAAGTATTTTTTTGATTGAAGAGCAAACTGTTTATAAATGGCAACAAATTGGTAACGTGTGGGTTTCAACAAAATGTTTGGATGCTTTTTGTTAGTATTATACCAGAAACTTCACCAGAAACTTGTTCTGCAAATGATAAAACAGAGTGAAGTCAGAAAAATGGTTTATTATATTCAAGCTGTTTTTTTAGAGGAGGGTAGACTCACTTAGATCCTTACTGGTAGCAAGAAAAAAATGTAAGTGGAACTTGCTTGAGGGTGATTTTTTGTTTCTTTTTTTTCCTCTTTTCTAAGACAGGGATATCGGAGCCTTCTTTTAAGGAGACAAAAACACAGAAAACCACTGTTCTGAAAACAGACAAGTCTTTGCTCCCCCAGATTATTATTTATAGTAACTGTAAACAGAGTGTGTGCAACTTTTTTGTTGTGACATAAGGGATACTGCATCATTTGGTAAGCAGTTGTTTACAAAGGCAAATTCTGTTTACATCTGGAAAGTGCCAGTTTCTTAGAATTATTATCAGGTGTTAAAYGGGTAACTGCTGCTGTGAAGCTAAGAGGCTTTGATGGAAATGTAACAGTGCCTGGAATGTTCTGGTCAAGGGCACTTGTTGTAGTGTGCGAGCAGGCTGACTCACACACACGCATCCTTCTCGTGCAAGCTGTTTTCTGTGATATTTGTTTACCTGCTGCTATATTAAGGACTCATTGCCATTATGTGACACAACTACCATTAACTACAACATAAAAATACATCTGAACCTGCCATCTGAACTCACACAGTTCTGCCACAATTGGGTCAGTGGAAAAGCTGAGTCTAAAATTCGTGCAAGTGATGAGGACTGGGGTTTGTGGATGAAGACAGWTGACAGGTCCTGTGTGCAGCGTAGCCACAAGCTTTCACAGGGCCCCTTGTGCTCCTACCCTTTCTTTCCACTCTAAGCCTTCCAGGCAAAACTGGAGAGACTTGCTGCTCTCAGGTATGCTAGAGGATACAAAGTCCTGCACTCACCTGTTAAGGGTTAATCTTTAACAGATCTTTCTGTTAGAAGTGCAGTATGGAAGAAAAGATGGTGAATCTATATTGCTGCCTGGTCTGGACACTTGGGGTTTTCTTCTTCCTTCCTTTTTTAACCCCATGCAGTAGCAGTTTCCAGGCTCAGGCAAACTAGCAGTGTCCGTCTGTTTAGCAAGCTTGGGAAGCCAAAATATTTAAGGGTTATTTTATATGTGTGTGTGTGTATATATGTGTGCACATATACACAATTAGCGTGCACCGCTCTCCTTTTCCTTCTTCAGCACGTTTCAGTAAGTTTGCCTGGAAATCCTTATACTAAGTACACACCACCCTTCCCTTGTGACATTGGAGGTGAGTTTGCAATGTGATTTAGTGTCTTTTCCAGAGCAGTAACGTGGCACCTTGGGGCTATTCTCAGCAGGCAAGGTGTGCTCTTTGCTGAAAAGCTTCCAAGCCTCTCCAGAGCATTTCAGAGACAAGCAAAGCTGGGAAGCTTTTGATTTCACGTGGCTCAGGTATGTCCTTGTGCTGAGAGCAGCAGGAAAGGGACTGACAGCTGGCAGCCTACCGGATGGAGTGCCCCGTGTAAGCTTTTTATGAATTAACTCTGAATGTTTGGGCATGGTATTTTAGGTTTGTGTTCTAGCTTGTCATTTTTCCAAAGCATTGTTTTATGTAATTAAAGATGTTGCTTACATGCAGTCACCAGCTGTGCTGGCGYCGTTCACAGCAAGCAGAACTCTGTGGCAGATTTACTCGGCCTTGATGGGTCGCCTTTGCTGCTAATAATACCATCGTGTTCCAGCTTTTTGTCATGTTTTGATGGCCTTCGTGTTTAGTGTAACGCTGAGAATACTACTGAAAAACGTGTGTTGTGGACTGTTCTCTTATGCATTTGACTATATGTCATATGATAATTTAACTAGGTAATTTCMTGTGTATCTTATTTGAAGGAATAAGCTACTGCTTTATTTTCTATCTTACTCATCACTTCACAAACTCACATACTGGGTTTTCCAGTCATGTCCATCCTAAACTGCAGAATTTTAGGCTGTTCTCTCTCTCTCTCCTCCTATGGAAATCACTGCATAATTCCTGCCTTAACATCAGTGACTTTCTGTATACACATCTACATCTGAAGTAGTCAAAAATGCAGGTTATTTTGGGTTGTTTGGAATATTTTTTTCTCATACTGCCACCTTGCATTATTTATCCCTTATTATTTACTGCACTACTGCATAAGTGTACTGGATAACTTCATTTTTGGTGCAACAACTATTATTAACCACGCTGTACTTCAGTTGCTATTTGGAAGACAGCAATTAGATGATAAATAGTCTTTCTGTGGATTATATCTTACACTATTTAAAAAGAAACCAGAACATGATCCCCCAAAAGCAGTGGGTGTGCTAATTCTCATAAACTCTATGCAGATGCAGCAACCCATGATGTGTACCCAAGTTGCAGGTGTGCGCCAACAAAGTAAATGATATAAAAGCATTTCTAGGAACAGTGAGTACAAGGGCCATACAATTGCAATTTTCCTTGGATCAACACACGCTTTTTACCTTTTTTTTTTTTTTTCATATTATCCTCCATTTAGAGAGTGATAGGTATTTAAAATAAAAATACTCTCAGTCCTGGGAATGTTACTTGTTTGCTTAGCAGTTTGAAGAAAGTCGCAGGTGAAGCCTCCTGCTCTTTGGTGGCATCCCTTGAAAAGCAGCCTCCTCATTTGCCATCTATTCAGTTTTTCTTGGCATTAGATGTTTGCCCTTTGTGCATAAAGGAAAAGACATCCAGTACTGTTTAGTAAAAGAAAAGCCTTAAATGCAGAATAAGCCTAAGCAGAATTAATTTGACAGCAATTACGGCAACAGGGCTTGGAGTTGCATGTGCCATGGGACTCTAATCATGTTTTTTTTTCCAGTTTCTGAAGCGTCACTTCTCTTTCGGTGGCAGAGCAGCGGTGCTGGGAGCGAAGGGGACGGACGTTTCTCCTCGGTAGCACAAATCCTGGGAATTGCGGGCCACCCTTGTTCAAGGTGCTGTACAAACACATCGCAGAGCAAATAAGCCAGGGAGGCGGGTGATGGGTTGATTTATACCTCAAGGACACACAGTGTCTTGTCCCGGAGGTCACAGCCCAGCAATGTTGTGGCAGATTGGGTAGAAAGCTACTTCACTGCTAACCCCTGATATTGCCCTACAAGGAAAGAAGGCKGCAGTCTAAATAAAGGGTACTGTCACATACGGAGCAAAGCCTCTTAAAAACAATTTTAAAACCTGAGAGCTTGATTCAAATGTTTAAGATATCTTCTTGTAAAAAATAAAACCCAAGATGTTTTAAACTGGAGGGATATCAAGCTGTGAATTTGCATTTCATATTTTCACTGTTAATACAGTGTTAATGCAGCRAATCCCTTATGCTGGTTAAGACAGAGAGAGAGAAAAAAAATAAAAAGGATCCTTTCATTAAAAGGGTTTTAACTTAGCAGAGTTGCCACAGAAGTGGCCAATAGCCATCTCTGCCCACCATTAAATTTGGAGAGAGTTTACTGGTTTTCCTGTAGGGGAAAGAAAAGACCTGGCACGCTATTTTGCAGGGGCAAAGAAAAGACCTGGCACGCTATGTTATTGATTTTATTAGAGGAGGAGTAGCTAAATAACAATGAATATATAAACCCTTGAAGCCAGACCTGCCAGTTAAATAAGTGCATTGAGAAAGTAATGAATATAGAAGGAG